TGCCCAGATGGAAGTTGTCCGACATCTGTCCAGCAGAGAGTCCTGCCGTAGGTGGAAGGGTGGACTTTGGTTTTCCTTCCTGCTTTAAAGCACTCACACTTTGCCAGGTACATCCACATGCTAATTTGACAAAGTACAAACTCTTACACCTGGCTTTAAGCTATATTTTATTTATATGGATTACAAACTAGCTAATAGCGGTTTTCTGTTTAGAAAGTAGTGTCTGTTTCTGGGGACATTTTTTTACATGAAGCGTTTGCATCAGTTAACTTGTGCCCTTATGGAGTTGAGTGTGGACCTTGGTCCCTTGATTATATGACCAATTACATAGGGAAACAGGGACAAGTGAGTCTGTGTGATGCAGGCTGGAGGTTTGTGTGCTGTAATGGAAGGAGAAAGGGTGAGTCTGTTTCTACCTCTGAGAAATGGAGAGGATGCCTCTCAGATCACTGCTATGAGCGTCACAGAAGATGACATATGATGATAAGTGACTGGCATGTTAAAGGCGTCTAAGAGATGACAGCTGCTTTCTCAGCACACCAAGGTGTGGCCACAGAGAGTAGTTTCTTATGTGATGAGTGGAGTGATCTTGCAGGGGTCCTGTGACTTTAAACCTGAGAGTCCTGATGTGGGAACAGGTCCTCCTAAGCCCTAACCTACAGAATATTTACTGATTGGGGAGAAATTAAGGCCCTCACTGTAATTGGGGAAATCCATGGTCAGTATTTTTTAACACATAATTGTTACATTCACCAGCTCTGAAAGAAATGAGAACACTGTGACTTTTGCTGAGAACAGACAAGATTAATCTGTGAAACCATTTTTTAGAATAACACAGAAACTGGTTCTATTTGTATTTCACAAAGAGTCGCTTCTATAAAATGTGGAAAATACTTCAGGGGTCTAACTGTGTGTTTGGGTCTTTTTAATAATTGCTGATAGGGGACAGAATAGTGGATATTACAAATCTAGGGGGATATTTAAAAAACTGTTTTGCTCATTTCCTCACCAGTTCCCCTCATCCACTAGGCTCTTTGAAAAGCTTCGTCATCTCAGGTATACTGCTTGGTCCTGGACATGCACATTACATGTGACATGTTCCCGCCCAGCTGAGGGGCAGGACACCCTGGCCAGCAAAAGAACTGGTGGCTTCCACAGGCAGAGCCCTCGCTCCTGTTCGTGCAGACTCGCCCACCTTTATCCTTCATTGTACCCAAGTCACAGCCTGCCTGTGCCATACTAGACAGCAAGGGAAACTGTTGGCATTTGAGCAGGACTTGAAGAAGCTCAGGCTGTGGAGGCATAAAAGGCAGGGGAGACATTGCCAGGTTATGCATTCCCTTAGCCCACCACATTTTCCGTTCCAGCCAGAGAGCACCATTAGCATGTTCCCCACATGCTGCCTTTTGAGAGCACAAGTTTAGGGGCTGTGAAGGCTCAGTGGAGATTTTTAAGCCAAGGTATATAAAAAGAGAATCTTCAAATCAGAAGTACAAAGTGGGGATTGATTATCATTTTTTAAAAGTTTCAGCTTTTTACCACCTGTCTTAGAAGTGTTGGGATGATTTCCGGGAATTAAGTTTAAAATAAATTTGTATTCCAGTTAATAGTCACTCCAGTTTTTTGTTTTTATTGATTTTAGCATCTGTATAAACAAATTCTTAAAACTGACTCAGTAATCCAGCTCTCTAAGTGATATTACTGGATCTGCTCTTGGCTGTATGCTTTCGTTCAGGTGATGGAAAATATCCTTTCCATGTGGCTAGACTCTAGTTCATTGCTATCACTTCTGCATCCTGACTGGACAGTTGGGGTAATAGGTGTGTGTGAACCAAACTCATCCCTGCTGCCTGCTTATCTTGCCTCGCTGTCCCTTCTCTCTCTCCTGGTCATAGAGCAATGGCCAACCCAAATGTCTTTTCACAGAGGAGTACGTTGTAGGCCTTCAAGGGACCTTGGGAGTTACCTAACTTAACCTACTGATTTGACTGAATTAGATAACTGTAAGATGACTCATGCATTAACTACACATCTCTTGATAGTATTTTGTATGGAACTGAAAGTTTTCAAGGTATTTGTAAATTTATTTTACTCGTTTTTAGAATGCTGTTAGCAAATTGGAACATTCTCACAGTTTACAAAGTAGTGAAAGTCATATTGGTATTACAGATTTTTTTTGAGGTTGTGTTATGTGTTGAATGGAAACGTGGGAAGATGCAAGTTGATTCTGTTTCAAAATGCTAAGTAACTGGTGATTTTCTCAGTGCCTGTTCACTTTGAAGTTGAGAGTAGATATGAAAAGTACTCCTTTTCTTGGAAAGGTGTACATTTTTCATATTCATGGCCAAGAATATAGACACAGGGATTATAATCTCAGTAGTAAAAGTGTTTATGATTTATAAAATCATAAATTATGAGCTTGTAAAATATGAGTCCTGGGCATCACTCCTACTGGAATCAGATTTACTAGTACATCCTATTCCTCCTTTGTTTCTATGGTTTTTAAAACATACATTGCAGCAGTGTGGGAGGGCGGCTGCCCCTGGCACTAAAGGGCTCTCCCCAGCATTCATTGTTCTGCCTACACTTTCCTCAGGATAAATAGGATTCGGGTGCTGGCACCTCTTGCTTGTCTCCATGCCCTGCTAAGCCCGGTGCGCAGTGGCGCATGGTTGTTACAGTCCTTGCCACTGGAGGAGTTACTATGAGCATGGCAATTTTCTGGGATTAGAAAGGCCCTCTGAATTCAACAGGTGACTCAAAAATTGTTTTATATTTCCTAATAATGAAAAGTGTGATTAATACCAGCAATTGGTTCCCATGATTTAACTGAAAAGCAGGACGAATAGGTGAGCAAGGTAGGGAGCCATAGACTATCACTTGAATTTGAGTTCCTGAGACACAAATACACTCCAGAAGAGTTGACAAACTCCTTTTAATGCCATGAAACTAGATGAGACCTATTTTACATAAACAGGCCACCTTCACAGAGACTCTGTGTGGCTGTGTGCCCTTACAGGGAAGGCAAGACCTTTCTTGTCCATCAAACTGGGATTGCCTCGCACCAAGAGAGCCCTGAGATTTTTCCATTCTGCCGTGCAGCATTTCAGCTCTCTTTCCACATTTGAAGAACAGAAAGACTAAGTGACCTTGTTTTCATCTCCTGGGACAGCTATTTTTAAATTTTTCTCAAAATTACCTGGTGGGATTCCAGCCAAAATTGAATGCAGATAAGTAACATTTGAACTTCTTTCCAAAGCCCAGTCAGTTATTCCACACGTTCTGCATTTTACATTTTGAAATTTTGGACCACAGACTTTGTTTTTTTTAGGCCTGGGTAAAATAAGGTTTGTGTTGATTAGATGAGGTGTGATGTTGTTGGAAGGTACCCTTTGGTGAGAGATCTCTAGGGCATTGGCCACTCAAAATCCAGTTGTCCATTTATATGATATTGATTCTGCCAGAATTTCAAATGTGATGCTACTTTGATTCCACTGAGCCCACATTTAAGTTCTGCTCTATCAAGAAAATGCATGGTCCATTTATACATGCTGGTTTGTAATAAAGTTGGAGGTTCTTCCCACCAAGTTCAGACTAACTTATACAGTCCTAATTTGGAAACAGTCATTCAGAAAACTCTTTTCCCACCCTCTCAACATGAGAGGGTCGACTAACCAGTCTCTTCCTATGTGAATAAGTGAATATGAAGGAAGAAGCCGGGTAATTATGAAAACTTAAATTTAGCATTATTGTTAAATGGCTTGATTATTTTAAAAGTTTCTGTGGACAAAGTTATTCTAAAAACTGACTTTCCTTAAAGCGTAGTCCTGCCCTGGCCGGTGTGGGTCAGTTGGTTGAGTGTCATCTCTTTCTGGTTGGATTCCTGCTCAGGCCACATGCCCATATTGCAGGCTTGATCCCCGGTGCGGGGCATGTTAGAGTCAGCCAATTGATGTTCTCCTCTCACATCTTTACATCAATGTTCCTCTCCCTTCCCCTCTCTCTCTAAAAATCAGTAAAAATATTTAAAATTTAAAAAGGCATAGTCCTTATATTCTTCATCATAAAGGGACTCCCTTTCCACACCTATGTTTTCATCACATTACTGCCAACCAGGTGCAACCCATATAGTGACACCAGCATTTCCTTTTTTAATCCCAACCTACTAAGGCATGAATTTTCTCTCTCTTCTCCAGCCTTACAGTGGAACGTATTCATTTGAAGTTAAAATGTAAACCTTACATAATCTCAGCTGTTGTGAGTACATCCTCATATTTAGAAACAAGACTAACACAGACCTGCATATCTGGTTCATGTCAGAGTAGTGATGGAGGCATCTTCCTTCTCCTCATCCTCAGCCGAGAGAAGAAGGTCTGCCATGCTAAACTGTTCTTTCTGGGAGGAAGGCAGAATGCATGCATTTCCAGCCCTGGTGCCTGTTCTCCTGGAGCAGGTGCCAGGGGCCCCCACTTTGTCTTTGGAGGAGTAAGAAGGTGTTCCCAACACGCCAGGTTCCAGGTTGGCACTTGGCTCCTGTGATAGGAAGGGTTAACATATGAATGTGGCATCTAAGTTTCCACATCAGTGCAAAGGCCTGAGTAATCCATAGCAGAGCTGGAATCTGACAAGATCACAAAGCTCGAGGACTTTGGTGTCCCTCTTTTTCATGGCAGCCTGGGGTCGCCATGTATAACATTGTTGCTAAGGTGCTGTTTATTCCGAGTTTCATTTAGGTGACTTTCCAGCTAACTTTCTGAAGGTATCTTCAATCTATTCACCCTGTCACCCCCTATAGTATTCAACCAAAGTGTCTGCCACTTTGTTCTATGCTTTGCAGTTCATCTCTACCCGGGTGGGATGCAAGGGGGATCGAGGAATACCTGGTACTCGGCCTGGTCTCTAACTGCTGAGGGCTAATGGCTCCAGCTAGAGTCCTCCTGGGTGCCCTGACAAGGACACAGCTGGTGTTTAACCAGTTTTAATCTTTTCCCACACCTTAGGATGATTCCAGTCCCGCCACTCCAGATGGGAATGAAAACTCCACTACGACAACCAGCACCTTCACCATCCAGGAGTACTTTGCCAAGCGGATGGCAGAGCTAAAGAACAAGCCACAGGTTGTTGCTGCAGGGCCTGACCTTCCAGAGACCCAAATGGAAAGGAAAAAGGGAAAGAAAAGAAAGAAAGAGGCAAAAAATAAAAATGTGGAGAATTACACCCAACCCAAGACCAAGAAAAAGAGAGACCAAGCTGAGCAGCAGCTTGGAGACCCTCAGGGGGACAAGAATTCTGATGCTTCTGCTGAGGATGGAGAAGACTGTATGTGGCCATTTGATGTCCAGGACTTACCACCAAAGCCCAAAAAAAAGAGAGAAAAGAAAAAGCTACAAAAGCAGGTTGAGGCAGCAATGGATGCTACTGTGGATGAAACACCAGTGAAAAAGAAGAAGAAAAAGAAGAAAGATTCCAAGTAAATTCTCTTGAGCCAGGGCCTTCCAACCACTCAGGTGTCAGGGCACTGCCAGGCTGCCTTGGCCTGGAGTCAGAGCAGAGTTCACCCAAGAGAGTGTGTGCACATCTTTTAACATGCCCGCGGATTGCTGGGTCTCGCCCTCTCACCACATTTTCCCCAAACCATTTTCCAAGGACTTTTTAATGTTCCAAATCATGACTCTCATGAACAAATAAATTTCTTTGTAGACTCTGAGCCCTTCACTGTGAGTGTTCATTCATATTCGTATGAACACGTCAAGTTGTGTATGTGCACACATGTGTGTAGGTATGTCAGTCTATATTTGCTCTTGATTTCCTTCAGTAACAATGAATTGTGCTTCCTTCTGAAAGACTTAGTCTAATTAAAGGATTAAGAGGCAATAGTTTAGATTCAGATCATTCTTTTTGTTCTATAGCCAACAATACATTTTTGCCAAGTAGGTATTATATTATTACTCTCCCAAATCAGACTTGTTTTTGTTTGTTTTGATTTGGTGTAGTTTTGATGGGGAAACTGTTTTAATGCCCTCTCTTCACTAAGCAGTGGCAGCCTAGTGTTCTGAGGTCTCCTTCCCAAGACTGCAGTCTAAGTGAGCTGACTAGGAACCGTGGAACCTTCCCTGAGAGAGCGTAGGCAGGCCGTGTGATGATGCTCGGGACAAATCCCCTATTGTGGGCTCCACCTTATTTATAACGATCAGGAGCTCCTCAGAAGCTTAAAAGATTGGGAGTCTAAGGTCAGGAAATTAATTTTATCTGTAAACCACTCACTCTGTAGATTGAAACTACCTTGTGAATGTTCTTAAAAGTATTAATAGCACATAAATGTAAAAGATACTTCTCAGTTCAGTCCTGCTCAGACCCAGTGGTGTCGCCGAGTTGTGTTTATACTGCCTTCTGCCACACCCTGGCGTCTCCGTGTGTGTTTACCCAGATAACTTCACGCCCTCCTTGGGACACAGAATTAGGAAGAAAATGCACGCTTATAAATTAGAGGTCCAGCCCTATTGTTTTCTCTGCCTGTTTCTCCTCTCTTCCTTTCTTTGTTCTCTTTATCTCTTCCTTCTTTTCTTCTCCATCCTTTTATTCGTTTATTCCCTCATCCTCATCCCCCCTTTATTTTCAATTCCAGTTTTCTTCTAACCCCTTTCTAGTTGCCAGCCGCCCGTCCTGCTCTTGCAATCTTGGTGCTTGGCCTGCTTCTGACAGACCTGTCAGAGTGGCTGTGAGGGTGTGGCAGGGCGTGCAGGCTCGGTGCTCTTTTCCACTTGATTGATAGATTGCTACATGCAAGCTGATGACCTTTTGCCCTGATTTTGACTGGAGGAGAGGGGGTGAGCCTTCATACATTAGATATGAAGCATGGCCCTGAGTCTTCACATTGAGGAAGTATAGTAAGAATGTTTGGTTTTGGTCTCTTAAGAATTCTGAATTGTTCAAAAAGTCACACACACTACCCAAAAAGAAAATTCAGAGCCTGAGGTCTAGTTTCTGAGTTTTATCATGGCCCCCCAGAGTGCAGAGTCCCAGGCTATGGTCCAATTTATTAAAGCACCAAAGATTTTTAAAATCACTTTTCTTCACAGAGGGCACATGCCCAAATTATCTCTGCTTGTCCTATCTTGTAAATGAACTGAGCTCCAGAAGGGAGTGGGAATGTATGAAACCTAAAGGGAATACTCTTTACAAAATATTTTTTTCCTCTCCACCCACATATTTAACATATATTTAATATATTTATATATATTTAACATATTCTTTTTTTGCCTTTTATTTTATTAACTTTAACTTTTTTTTTTTAACCAATAAAAATGAGAGTCACACAAATATACTGAATTGTGTGCAGGAGGAGAAAGCAGGTGGGGGTTTAGGAAGCAGCTGAGATGCGGTCGTCAGGTGAGATGAAGGGGCCGGCCAGGAAGACCAGGGTAGGGAGGTGCTGAAGGAAAGTTCTTGGAGTTGAGAATTCCAAGGCAAGGGTAAAACATCTCAAGATTATTAGATGCAACTAAATAAATAGATACTGTAGGCTGTAATTTTTATTATTTTAGTGGGCTGCAAAAAGAATTCCTGGATGATTTTAGGAATTTCAGGGTAGCCTGAGAAAGAAGTACTTGCTCAGCAAAGAGCAGACCAGTGTGACCCTTTACTTTGAAGGATGTGGAAGCTTAATTTTCACTAGAAATCTGCAGTGTTCCTTTTTCCCAAGTGTCTCTTTTATAGGCCACTTGGTTTTCCGGATCTAAGTGGAAGATTGAAATATATACGCTTGAAAGTTGCATTTCATAGACATGCTATTTCTTAAATTGTTAACATATGAACCCTATGGTTTGCCTTTAATTATTTCACTTGGTAAAAATATATTTTTATTCTTCAGTGCTTTCCTTGGCATCCTTCAGTTTTAATAGGGAAAGCAGGTACCCTGGAAAAGATTTAGCCAATGAAGAGGTTCTTAAATGTTACAGCACCCTTCTTTCCCTTCTGTTAATTTTAATAGATATTAATTATTGCTGCATGAGGTCCTGTATGCCTGGCCCTATTCCAAGCACTTTAAATAAATCAGCTCATGTCGTCCTCAACCCAGTAAGTAAGCACTATTGTTAGTTACCCCCTTTTACAGATAAACACTGTTTTTATAAAAGGGCCTCTTTCAGTTTTTATAATTAAATTTATGATGCTCCCAGAGAACCAGTGGAAGCCGCTGGCAAACAGTAGACTTTTACAATGAACTGGAGTTAGCATTACTTACATGCGCTGTGGAAAATACTTGCGGATAGCCTGTACATTTGAAATTCTCAACGGATGTTCCTTCCCAACTTGGTCAAGAGGTTGGTGGGAAATTGGGTAAGTAACTCAACTTCTTAAAACCTCTTTGCCAGTCTATGAAAAAAAGACATTTTCTTCTAATTTGCAGAAAATACTGGTACTTCTGAAATACAAAACCTAAATGAGCCCTGGTTTTATACCACAGTGCGGATCTTGCCTCTCCTCCCTCACCAGTTGGCTGACTCCGGCAGGAGCAAGCTGGGACCTGCTCTTTTAGAAACAGCATCAGAGAAATGTTTCGGCACAATCTACCTGAGTGATCTCAGCCTGGACCAGCAAGCAGCGGCTGTATTTAGATTTGACTAAGAACTTCCCCACTGTCACCCTGTTTATCTTGTGGGTTCTGCAATCATTGCAGTTTGGAGCCTGTTGTGCTGGCACTGGGGCTGGGGAGGTCAGATCCCTGCTGATGTGCGATTTCATAGCTCTCGGTTGTTAGTGAACAAATTAGTATCACATCCTAATAAAATGGATGACTAGACTCCATGCATAAAAGTATACGATCTAGTTAGGAAATACTGATTCCACTAAAATGGTATGCACAAAGCCCTTATGGGACCGGAAAGAGGAGGGCAAAGGCAGAGAGAGCAGGTAAAAAGGTGGGTGGGCCCAGGAGTGTTGTGATGGAGGCAGTGTGTGGGCTAATGCAGACATGCTTGCCGAGCTCTTCTTTCTCATCTAAGTTGAATTTTTGTATAAGCGTTAAGAGCAAACTTAAGGAAAACTGCAATGAATTATTTAGCCAGAGGAAGGATTTTGTAATTAGTTACATCTTAAATTTTCTGTTTGTATTTCCTGTATTGGTTTTCCTTTGAGAAAGGTAACGTGGATGTGAGAAGCCGTTATTTGTTCTAAACGATTTGCTGAGCCCCAACTTAGAACTAAGCCTAGGCCAATTCAGGACTGAGTAATCCATTACAGGGCCTACCCACATTCAAGATCTATCAACTTGTGTCCTTTAGGATGGTTTTCCTTATCCTAGAACACTGTCAATGGGATGTACTCGGGACCTGGCGCCCTCCACACTGGGGGGTTTCATCACCTTTAACATTCATGCTAATCCTGTTAATCAAATTGGGTAGTAAGCTATAAACCATTCTTTGCTAACTCATTATTTGACTTGAACCTGAGGAGTGACTTCCCACTCAGATCTCCCTTATTAACATTTCTAACTGTGATAAATAAGCAAAATTATGTGAACATTCTTCCACATAGAGTGAATTAAAAATGTATTTTGCCTAAGTGGAGAGTGTAAGAAAGACCACAGCTCCTCTCGCCAGCCCCTTTCCTCTCCTCTGTCCCTTCTGTTACTGGCATAACTGTTGAAAGAACTGGGTATAAAAGGACTAGGAGACCTAGCTTTGAGGTAGCCTTACTTTGCCTAGGGACTGGGGACACCCTTTGACCTGGTATGGAACAACAAATATTAAACATTTGTTAAAGAAATGGAAGCCTGAAGACAAATTCTAGCCTTCAAAACTTGGGGAATGAAGCTGTGAGAAATCCAGGAGAGTGCCACAGAGCCTTCACTGTTGGGAGTGTCCTCACTTTCATGCCCCTCCTCATCTGCTAGGCAGCTTCCCCCAGGTGAGTGGCTTTACTCCAGACTGTTCTATCTCCTTTCACCTACCCTACACCCCCTAAAACTCCTGAGTGTCATTTCCTGAATACTCCTTGGCTGTCAGGAGACAGAAAGTCCTTGAATGTTTTGCTCAGAGGTTTTGTGGATTAATTTGCATATGCAGGCGTGGAGCAAAGACGGAAGACAGCATAGAACAGTGGTTCTCAACCTGTGGGTTGCATCCCCTTTGGTGGTCGAACGACCCTTTCACAGGGGTCGCCTAAGACCATCCTGCATATCAGATATTTACATGACGATTCATAACAGTAGCAACATTACAGTTATGAAGTAGCAACAAAAATAATTTTATGGTTGGGTCACAACATGAGGAACTGTAAAGGGCCAGAAGGTTGAGAACCACTGGCATAGAAGGAAGCCAAGCACAGCATGAGGGAGCAAAGCGGTGGAGAAGGGAGGGAGCCGAGGCAGCGGACATGGGAGGGAGTGAGGCAGTGGAGAAGGGAGCTTCGCTCCGGCCACAGGAAGCCCTATTCTTGCAGGAATCTTCCTGCAAAGGGCCTCTAGTATATATATACACACTCGTGACCAATGTTTCTGCTTCTTTCTGAACAATTCCCATGTCTGGATCTGTCCCCCACTGGTCAGTCTCAAGCTTTCCTTCCGCATCTCCAATTAATCATCCTGAGGGTCCCTCAGATTCAAAGGATCTGAAAGGAACTCTTGTTCATCCTTTCCAGGCCACCTTCTGTACCTGTTGTTGCTATGGATACCCCTATGCTTTCACTGTGGCTTTAACATCTAGGCCA